AGAGAAGCTAGAGATTGGATTGATCATCAATATCCAGTGATTTCAGCAAAGTAGCAGGATATAAAATAAATACCCATAAACCAAATGCATTTCTATACATAAGTGATGAATCCATACAAAAGAAATTAGGAAAACCACCCCATTCACAATAGCCTCAAAAAAAAATAAAATAAAATAATTGGGAATCAATCTAACAAAAGAGGTGAAAGAACTCTATAATGAAAACTACAGAGCACAAGAAAAAGAAATTGAAGAAGATCTTAGAAGATGGAAAGATCTCTCATGCTCTTGGATAGGCAAAATTAATATCGTCAAAATGGCCATACTACCAAAACTGTTATACAGGTTTAATGCAATTCCTATTAAAACCCTAATGACATTCTTCATAGAACAAGAAAAATCAATCATGAAATTTATTTGGAAAAATAAAAGACTCGTAATAGCCAAAACAATCTTCAGCAAGAAGAGTGAACCTGGAGGCATCCCAATACCAAACCTTGAACTATACTACAGAACAATAGAAACAAAAACAGCATGGTATTGGTTCCAAAAGACACGTAGACCAATGGTACAAAATAGATGACAGAGTGGCTGGGGTTGTGGCTCAGTGGTAGAGCGCTTGCCTCCCATGTGCAAAACCCTGGGTTCGATCCTCAGCATCACATAAGAATAAATAAGTGAAATAAAGGTACTGTTTCCAACTACAACTAAAAAATAAATATTTTTTAAAAAGTAGATGACAGAGACAAACCCACATAAATACAGTTATCTCATACTAGATAAAGGTGCCAAAAACATACATTGGAGAAAAGATAGCCTATTCACCAAAGTAGTGCTAAGAAAACTGGAAATCCATATGTAGCAAAATTAAACTAAACCTCTATCTCTCACCCTGCACAAAAGTCAACTCAAAGTGGATCAAAGACCTAAGTCTAGAACAGAGACCCTGTGCCTAACAGAAGAAAAAAATAGGCCCAAATCTTCATCATGTTGTCTTAGGACCTGACTTCCTGAACAAGACTCCTAAAGCACAAGAAGTAAACTCAAGAATCAATAAGTGGTATAAATTCAAACTACAAAGCTTCTTCTCAGCAAAGGAAACAATCAATAATGTGATGAGAGAGCCTACAAAATAGGAGAAAATCTTTACCAAATACACCTCAGATGGAGCACTAATCTCCAGAATATATAAAGAAGTCAAAAAACTTAACATCAAAAAACCAAATAACCCAATCAATAAATGGGCTAAGGAACTGACCAGACACTTCACAGAAGAAGAAATACAATCAATCAACAAACATATGAAAAATGTTCAACATCTCTAGCAATTAGAGAAATGAAAAATCAAAACTAAGATTTCATCTCACTCCAGTCCAAATGGCAATTATCAAGAACACGAGCAATAATAAGTGTTGGCAAGGATGTAGGGGGAAAGGCACACTCATAAACTGCTGGTGGGACTGCAAATTGAGGCAACCACTTGGAAAGCATTATGGAGATACCTCAGAAAACTTGGAATGGATCCACTATTTGACCCAGCTATCCCACTCTTTGGTTTATACCCAAAGGACTTAAAATCAGCATACTACAGTGACACAGCCACATCAGTGTTTATAGCAGCTCATTCTTCTTTAAGGCTAAGTGATATTCCATTGTGTATATGTACCACATTTTCTTTATCCATTCATCTGTTGAAGGGCATCAAGGTTGGTTCCATAGTTTAGCTATGAATTGAGCTGGGGTCCTGGAGGTGTTAGCCAGGGTGTTAGCAAGGGCGTTGGCTGGGGTAGGAGCTACTCCAGGTGAAGACATAGATTGAAGCAACTAGTTTCAGTCCAGAGCACTATCCCTTTCCACAGTGACAGTCCTGGGACTCACCTGGGCACGACTGAGAGAGTAGTTCTGGGATTACTATTGACTTCCCCTGTAGTAACTGTGCCCAGCATGTACTCAGATTTGGGATCTTCCAGACAAGTCCCATAACCAGGGCAAGATTTAAGGAGAAGTGCAAATACCTCTAACTGGGGGTCTTGGTAGATGGGAATTCAGAGGGCAGAGGGTATAGAGGTGGCTGCTGTGTGAGTACTCAACCCTGGTCAGCAATCCTAACCTTCCAGTCCTCTACCCGCACCTTATCAAGGTTCTTAGCATATCAACAAGGGCCAGCACGCTACAACTTAGGAAGCTTTTCTAAGCCTTACAAAAGATTTTAAAAATATATCTGGAAGTGCTCTTCATCTCAGTGTTTTTGATTCCATTCCAAGCTTTGATGTCACCTAAAACCATTTGTCATAGTGACCTTGCCCTGCCGAACATGGCTCTACCATTTGCTTAGAGGAGTCAAAAATGTCTATTTTTCCTCCCTCAGGAAAAAAAAAAAAAAAAAAAAAGGAAACTTTTTTCCATGTTCCATTTTATTTTCAGCTCTTTTGAGAAGAAGATAAGCTGACAATGAAACATGATGATTGGCATGTTATTTTTAAGTGAATTTTTAGTGGCAAATAATTCATTCCATCTGGGAAAGGCTGATCAACATTTTCGGCAATGAGGAGCACATCAGGATAAATTATTTCCAGCATTTTTTTTAAAAAAGTTTATTTGGATCCAGATCCACATAACTAGTTGCTCAGGGTCAGTGGCATTTCCTGACCCTGAGAGGGGCTAATCCCTTGGCTGTTTCCCTCATCCCTTAAGGTCAACATCTCACAATATCAAAGACCATTTGCTCACCAGACACCTCCCTGGGGCATCTGTCACCCAGTTCCTGGGGACTGTTGTGGTTGCACTGTGGTAGTAGTTCACATTGTACTTCACCCTCGCCATTGGCAAAAGCATCAGCAGTATCATATATCTGCAGCTGAACTTGGCATCTTTGTGTACTGTTCCCATAGCACACATCCTCTCATTTGACAATAGGGAGCTAACACAGACAGGGAACACGAGAGAGAACAAAGGTTAGACTTGTCCCAGGGCTCCATTTTGGTCTATCCAGCTCTCACAGGTCCTATAGGAGATCCACAGTTAAAAGCATTGGTAAGAAGGAAGGAAAGAACAAATATTTGCACTCATTCATTCATAAGAGCATTATTCACCAAAGCCAGAGGCGGAAGCAACCCAAATGTCCATCAATGGATGAATGAATAAATAAAATATGGGTATATTCATTCAATGGAATATTATTCAGTCTTAAAAAGGGTGGGAATTCTTGCATGCAACAACATGGATTAACCTCAAAGGCATCATGCTAAGAGAAATAGGCCAGACACACACACACACACACACACACACACACGATTCCCATGATTCCACTTATATGAGGTACCTAGAATAGGCAAATTCACGAGAAAAAAAAATAGAACAGAGGTTACTAGGGGCAAAGGGAAAGGCAGCAAAATAGGGAATAGGGGATTATCAGTTAATGGATACAGAACCTCAGCTTGGAACGATGAAAAAAAGTTTTGGAGATGGATGGTGATAAGGGCTGCACAAAAATGTGAATATCTAATGTCATTGTGCAATGTACAACATCTGATGTCTACTTAAAATGGCAAATTTTATGTTAAGTGTATTTTACAACAATGTTTTAAAAGGCAGGAAAATACGCTGTGCTTTTCACTGACCCTTAGGCCTTTGCTAAAGAAGACTTGTGGGTGTCCTCAATGGTAAGTATGGACGGTGATCAGGCTGCCCAGGCTATGCGGGTCCCCGTTCAACAACTGACTCCACAACAAGAACAAAACATACATGAATTAAAATATTTGTTTACAAGTCTGTTATAAATTTTGCTAATAAAAAGGAAGTGAGCTACATAGTTGACACGTCATAAAAAATATACAGCATTCTTTATTTTAAATTCCACACAACCAATAGATTTTCAAGGAATGATTTTATGGATTCTTGTGAAATTCTTTTGCATCTGCAGCCAATAATGTTTGCAATTGATATACAGGGGTAGCCCTCACATGAAAATTGGCTTGGTATTTTCACTTAATAAGGAAGACAGAAATGACAAAGACATGCTGGAATGTCACTCTCCGTCAATGATGTAAGCGATTTTTTTGGTGCATTAGATAGTAATTTTTACACACTGGAAGAATATTTCCAAAATTTCTTATGTTTTTCATAATATAAGAGCTATAGGCTCAATCTGCATTTTTTTTCTTTTTCCGTGTGTGTGTGTGTGTGTGTGTGTGTGTGTGTGTGTGTTTGGTACTGGGGATTGAACCCAGGGTTGCTGTACCACTGAGATACATTCCAAACTTTTTTACTTTTGCTTTGAAATAGGGTCTCACTAAGTGGCTGAGGCTGGCCTCCAACTTGGAATCCTCCTGACTCAACCTCCCAAATCACTGGGATGACAGGTATGTGCCACCAAATCTGGCAGCACACAATTTTTCCCTTACCATTTTCCATTGGTTTTCTCCAATGTCCATCAATGGATGAATGAATAAATAAAATATGGGTGTATCCAATTTTTCTTCTCTTCCTTTTTCTGGCTCAGAAGAGCATAATTTTAAAATGGGACCAGAGGACTCAAAGGAAATCTGTTGCAGGCTCAGCCTTTCGGGGGCATTCTTTTGGTTTCTTTGATATTAAGTGCCACCTCTTAAGGATCTCAACAACCAGAGGAGAGGGGAAAGTTTCACAGGATTATTTTTTCCAGGGCTGCGGACCAAACACAGGGCATGCTGCAAGTGCTCTACCCTGAGCCACCCAGGGTGCATCTTAAGTTACATCCTTGTGACGCTCACCCAATACACAGCTTTTCATTAACGAGAAAAGCAGAGCAAGGAAGTCGTGAGGGAAAGCCATCAAGCCCCGTAATAAAACGAGACAATGAAAACAGTGCGAATTTCTAGAGGGCTGATTAAGAAAATGTCTTTTTTACAAACCTCAATAGCTAGTCATCAAACATTAACTAATTCATGTACCTTTTTAAAGAAAATAGATGGCTATTAAACCCTTCTTAAAGAAAAATTCATTTTCATGAACCTCGAGTGTTGCTTTAAATTATTTTTATTAGGTAGTTAAAGAGTCCAAACACAAAGTAGACATAAAGCCTGAATGTTTATAACCCTCACATAAACATAAAAACAAATGCATTGGAATATAAAAACCACAGAAATCAATCATGCTTTAAGGAGGAGCATTAATTTCATATGAGGAATATTGTTCTTGAAAGCAAGTTGTCACTGTTGGGTGAGATAGCTGGCTTGTTGAAAACAATATTTGATTCATCAGTGAGTGGATAAATCTCATCATTGAGACAATAGATGGCAAATTATAGCACCGCTGTGGTCCCCAACCCTCACGGGCTCTTCTCTGCCACACGATTGTCAAGGAGTGAAATTAGGAAGTATTTCTTCTCTGCTCTGTTCTCCCATGTTTGCCACTGTGAATAAATAAACAACAACAACAACAAAAGAAAAACCAACAAAATCACACTCACAGGATAGTTCATAAGTGGCTTTACTATTTAATTTTGCAGTGTTACATTTCCTGGAGTAGAGCTCAGTGGTAGTGCACTTGCATAGCATGTGTGAGGAGCTGGGTTCAATTCCTAATACTGCCCCCGCCACAAAAAAAAAAAAAAAAGTTTCCTGGGGAAAAAAATGTATCTTCCTTTAACTGACCTTCTCTCTTGAGCTGCCCTTTCTACCCAGCAATGGGAAATGTCAATCTTCTCCCAGAAGTTGGCTAAGTTGCAGGGGGCCCAGGTCTTACGAGAATCCTGTTCTACACTCATTGGTTTCCTGTCTGTTGTCTTAATCTGTAATATTCTGGTCCCAGGGGTCTTGACAGGTAGCACTTGCCCTGCATTCCTGACAAGAGGTCAGCAGTCCCACTGGCCTGTGCACTCCGTGTGCCTGAGTCAATCTCGGCCAGTCTTGGTGGTACCCAGGAAGTCTGTAAACTCCTTGGCTTCGTTGGGTGGAGAGAGACAGGCCTTGAGCAAGGGGTGGTGGGGAGCCATCTCTCCCAGGCATCTCTAAGCCCCTACCCGTCCTGCTGTTCTATCTGCTCATTTCACACGGAGCGCTCTGGTAGAGCTAGCTGCATCTTCTCACAGGGCTGCAGGTGGAAAGGGGCACACAAGCCCCTCTGTCCTCATGTCTTCAGCCTAATCTGGGGGTTTTACTGTCCCCGTCCCCCCAGTCCCCATGAGTTCAGCCCAGAAAGCATCTGGTCCAGCAACTCTCCTGTGCTCTTCTAATAGAGGCTATTTCTCTACACAAGGGTAGAAATGGCTCTTACATCATTATTTATTGTTTTGAATCAATTTATAGACAAAAGCTGTGATGTATTAGTGAATGTTTAAAAAGTGCTTCTCCTTGGCCAGTGTTCATGGTGTAAACGATTCCAGTGGTTTTGATGGCAAACCCCCGTGTGATGTCACTGATCAGGGAGTTTGGAAGAAGTTCACCATCTGCCAGCTCAGACACACCCCTGGCTATCGCCAAGGCCAGATTTTTAGAATATAAAATCCTTCTCATCTCTTTGAAAACCCAGGACTTACAGTGGACAGCCTTCCCTTTTGGGACTTTTCTCCTTGCTGTGCATTGAAAGACCCTTTTTTAGAACTCAGAGCCAATAATTTGTCTCTTTTGTCAATCCTCTCCTGAGGACAGTGTATTTGGAGACCTATCTCTATGTCCCTAGTGGTGGGAGATTAATGGGGACAAGAAAGCCTGGGGGGACCTCAATATCTCAAAATATTATCCACCACTCACATACAGCTTATTTTTAATGGCTTGAAATAGCAACCATATCGCCAATAGAGGCTCCACAAAGAAACTCCTATCAAACTGACATGAACTTAAAACAAAGGTTGCCTCATAAGGTTAGTGATGGGGAATTGGGAAAAGGAGAAAGAGAAGCAGGGAAGGAGGAGAATCCCTAAGACAGGGTTATTACCAATACATTTTGTTCACATTTAATAATGTCATGGCTTCAGCACATGCACTCATTAAATGCAACTAGGTGCCTGTGCTAGTCAGTTTTCCATCACTGTAACAAAATACCTGAGATAATCAACTTACAAGGAGAAAAAATTTATTTTGGCTCAGAGCTGCAGAGGCTTCAGTACATGGTTGTTTGGCCCCATGGCCTCTGGGCCCATGGCAGAAACATATGGCCGGGGAAACTGCTCAGAGTCATCAGGAAGCAAAAAGAGAATAAAAGGAGCCAGGGTTACAACATCCCCTTTGAGGGAACGTCCCGCAGTGGCCTAATTTACTCCAACTAGACGCCCATTCTTAAAGGTTCCATCACCTTCCACTAGTGCCAGGCTGGCAACCAAGACTTTAACACATGGACCTTTGCAGAACACCTTTGCAGATCCAACTACAGCACTATCTAACCTCATTTTAAGATGTCGTAAGATTACGTTCCAGGTCTGGAAGAAGGGGAGGCCCTCCTAGCCCTCTACTCAGACTCTGCAACTATGGGCTACAGCAGGGAGAGGAGGAGATGTGTCCGTAATGCACACTCCTTGGGCCCAGCCCCACCTCTTCTTGCTGCCTCTTCTGAGGCTATGGGGACAGATTTCTGTACCGTCCCACATCCTCCAACTTCCAAGCTACTGGGAGACCCCAGCAGTGAGAGAGTGGGCTGCAGATGCACTGGTCCTCTGACTCCTGGACCCGAGGTGCTTAAGAACCCAAACGGAAACTGAAAAATAAGAGAATCTTATATGTAAGTGTTATGGTTTGGATGTGAGGTGTCCCCAGAAGCTCATGTGTGAGACGATGCAAGAAGGTTCAGAGGAGAAATGATTGGCTTATGAGAGTCTTAACACAATCAGTGAATTAATCTCTTGATGGGATTAACTGAGTGGTGACCAAAGGCAGGTAGGGTATGACTGGAGAAAGTGGGTCCCTGGGGGTGTGCCTTTGGGATATATATTTTGTTTCTAGAGAGTGGAGTCTCTCTGCTTTCTAATCATCATGTGAGCTGCTTCCCTCTGCCACACTCTTCCACCACGATGTTCTGTCTCACCTCGAGCCCCAAGGAATGGAGCCTGCTGTCTATGGACTGAGACCTCTGAAACTGTGAGCCCCCAAGTAAACTTTCCCCCCTCTACAACTGTTCTTGTCAGGTCTTCTAGTAACAGATGGGGAAAAAGCTGACTAAAACAATGAACTATCTGTTGATGACTTGCAAATTGTCTCCTGTCCCCATCTCTCTTAGCTGACAGAACAGTCAGTGAACTGTCTGAGGTACCTCAAAGTGTCTTTCACTTTAAATGGTGAAGAATAATTCAAAGTGAAACATGATAGAGACATCAGATTCCAATTAACCTAACCACTGATTATTTTTGCTAACTGGGAAAGGTGTGGGGTCAAGTCTAGGGAATTCTCTATTTACTAGTTAGTTCTGTGATTTTGCAAAAGTTAGTTAGCAGGAATTAGCTGTATTCCTTCATATGTAAGTGGAAATAATATATTATAAGGTTGATGTAAGGATTAAGTGAAATTTTATGTAAAAGAATGATTTGTGAGGCTGGCATGCACGGGACACTGGGTTTGATCCTCAGCACCACATAAAAATAAAGATGTTGTGTTCACCGAAAACCAAAAAATAAATATTAAAAAAATTCTCTCTCTCTCTCTCTCTCTCTCTCTCTCTCTCTCTCTCTCTCTCTCTTTAAATAATAAAAAAAAAGAATGATTTGTGGGGCTGGGGTTGTACTCAGTGGTAGAGCATTTGCCAAGCACATGTGAGGCACTGGATTTGCTCCTCAGCACTACATAAAAATAAATAAATAAAATAAAGCTATTGTGTGTGTGTCTACAACTAAAAATTTTTTTTAAAAAAAGAATGATTTGCAAGCTAGAGTTCTATACAATGTTTGCTAATTATTCCATGTGAATTTCCTCAAAGAGAAAGAACACATGTTGTTTAGGAACCACAGCATCCAGCCCAGAACCTAGACCAGATTTTAATTCTTCAAAGAGCCACTTCTATTAGTTATATTAACAGAAATCATTTATAATTGGATTTTGGAACACTGAAAATGTGAGGGGAAAGCATGAAGTAATTCAAAAAGAACAGTAACTGAGGAGCAGCTACCACCCTGGGGCTGGGGGAGCATGAGGAGGCTGCAGCCACTGGGATTTGGAGCTGGAGGGGCGCCGCGCTGAGACGGGCATCTCTGAGGTCAGCCCTTGTGCAGAAACTGGAAACAGGAACTTCCAGCTACTGAAGTCAACTGTTGTTGCCAAGGTGAAGAATCACTGCTGTGAGGACAATGACAGCCGAGCCAACCATGTGGGAAAGGGCCCGTCCCACTTCCCCTCCAGTCTCCCTGGAGCTCCCACTATAGACACAGCCAGCAGGGAACCCGCTGGTAAAGGGGAAAATACAGTAGGTCCCCTCCAGGGGGTGACGTTACAAGACCCCCTGTGAACACCTGCGTTGGAGACATTCATACCTATATGATAAAGTTTAGTTTATAAATTAGGGGCACAGAAAGAGATTATAATAAACTGAAACAGTTACAATATGCTGTAATAAAAGTTATGTGACTGTGCTTGCACTCCTCTCCCTCAAAATTTCTTATTGCACTAGACTGAATTTTTGAATCCCAGTTGACCTCAGGTAACTAAAGCCATGGAAAGGGAAGAAGCTTTGGATAAGGGGGACTGCAGCACAGAGCAGACTTCCGGTCTCAGCACCCTGGCAGTGTGTGTCAGGTGGGGAGGGTTTGAGCTGAGAAACAACTGCTCAGAAACCACATTACAGTTAATTGATGAAAGGGACTTTGCCTGTGGGTGAAGATCAAGGGCTATACTTCCATGGGCTTCTTTTTGAGTGATCAGAGGACAACACTTGAGTCCCAAGGGTCTTAGGTAACCAGAGCCCCACCCAGGCTGATACCACCTTCATCCAGAGTATAGCCTGACCCTTCCACATCATCCTCGCCCACAGGGTCATCCTTGTAACTGCCTGTTATGGTTTGGATTGAGGTGTCCCCCAAAAGCTCATGTGTGAGATAGTGCAAGAGGAGAAATGATTGGGTTATAGGAGTCTTAACCCAATCAGTGAGTTAATCCCCTGATAGGGATTAACTGAGTGGTAATTGAGTGGTAGGGTGTGGCTGGAGGAGGTGGGCATTGGAGGTGTGGCTTTGGGGTATATATTTTTATATATGAAGACCCCTTTCTCTCCCCCCTCCCCCCCCCCTTTCTCTGTGTGCTTTCTGACCATCATGTGAGCTGCTTCCCTCTCCCACACTCTTCTGCCATGATGTTCTGCCTCACCTGGAGCCCCAAGGAATGGAGCCAGCTGTCTATGGATTGAGACTGGGAATTGAACCCAGGACCCTGCACATTGCTAGGGAAGCCCTTTACCATTGATTTACATCTCCAGCCCCTCCATCACATTCTGACT